TGTCGAAGAATTTTCAGTGACCTCATGAGTAGTGTATTTCGAGTGTACCTGTTAAGTTGTTTATAAAAACGTTGGCTACCTCCTTCCTAGTTTTAGGCTTATCCGTAAAACCTTCTGGCTTTACTTTACTTATTATATTTGTGGGTATGTCGAGGTACAATAATTTCGCTATGTCTGCACAAATACAAACTGAAACCTCTTCACACTCATGCGTGACTTCTCACAGTTATTATCAAGGTGTCACGTTAGGGACTGCACTGACAGGAATTACGAGGTTATAGTATGTGACAAGGTGCCATACGACACATGGAACCTGCTAGGCACGTAATTTACGGCGTGAGGATAGCTAGTACCCATAAATTCGAATAATTTAATGAATGGCAGAAACACCATCATCATCATCATCATCATCATCATCATCAACAGCATGACATCAGTGGTCAACACCAATGCTTCACTGCCGTACTGGCAGAAACCTGAGTGTTGAAAATCAATGCGCTGTTAAAGAACTATTGTATGGGTTTGCTGATAGAAGAACTAACTTCTGGAACAACATGGTAACAATGAAAGAACGCTTACGGTGATTGGCTGGCTCTCTTTTGTCCAGGATGGAAGGTGAAAATAGGAAGACAGCCATGTACAGTCTTTTTCATTCATGCTTCTGATTATTTCGGTATCTCCTGCACTCTTTCATTTCTATGATAACGATATCTCCGTGAGGCTTTTTCTGTCTCACCTTTTGGTGACATTTCCGGCCCCAACCGTAGTGTTGAATGTGGATGTTCAATGGGAAATTTTGGCTGGTTGATGTGTCATTTCACTAATCATTCAATTATCTCTTATAATCCGCAGACGATACAGTTTGAACCGCTAGCTGTCTGTCCAATTGTGTGGAGTTCTTTCCATTCGCTTTCCAATCTTCGAGTTTGACTGGGAACCACTGAGACAGCGAAGATGATAACCAATGATAGACGTTAAAAAACTTAAGCCGGGGATGACATTCGAAGGAACGTGTTCCCCTACGTTTTCCCCTGCTAAGGGAAAACTTAGGCATTGCTGACGGCCAAAGGCGGAGCAGAAGGGCATTAGAAGGTAATAACCAAACTCATAAACTCGATAGAACAAGAGCGCTTGGAGCACAACGTAATTGTGCAGAGTCAACAGGGCAACTAACAGCCATCCCGACCAAGCACTCAGTAACATTAGGATGTACGACCAAAGCCACCAGAAAGTAATTTCGTGTCACGCCAGCACAACTCAACTAACCTGAGATGACAAATCATTCCAAGCTCGCATCATCATCATCATCAACAGCATGACATCAGTGTTCAACACCGATGTTTTACTGCCGTACAACCATGACTTATTTGAAAACCTTATTGTAAAGGAAAGAGTAAAGATGGACGGGGAAAGGGAAATAGTGCTAGCTTAAGACAATCATTCCCAGGTGCCTACACCTCCAGACATTCACTCAGGCAATCTGGATGGAAACTGACAACAAGAACGCCACTGACATCGGTTGGCAGCCATATCTTGTAGTGTCTCCAACCAGGCACAATGAGGATCACGTGGTCCTCATCCTGGAAGGCGAGTGGCATCGACAGCACCCAAGCGTTTCCTGGTCTCCTTCATATTCCTCTGTCAAGTCAAGGGTTGGCCACATCTCTGTTGGGCGTGGGAAACAGCACTCTCTTCGGTAAACGATGGTTCGGAATACGCAACACATGTCCCAACCAATGCAGGATTCACGGTTACAGTGTGTCCGTGTAACCAGACCTAATCACCCTCTCCCAATGGTGCATCAAATATCTTCCTGTCTCAGTTTTCCCTTTGCTACTCACAGGTCACTACATTTTCTGCAAGATGTGACTCGAGACATTGATTCCACGATCAGAAGGCAGTTGTTCAGAAGTGCCACAACGGCACATCCATGGATCAGTGCATCGCTCAAAACTACTTTGTAAAATGACCTGTGATTCTTAAGTACAAATGCTCCGATTCGAATTTCAGCCTTGGTGAGCTGTAGGAAAGATCTGTCCACGGTTACGGAAACTCAAGAGAAGCTCACGGAAATCGCAAAAATTTTCCCGTCACACTGTCGATGAACCCATCGAAAGCTCTCTGGCTCAAAGCGTTTCACGGCATGTCCTTTAATCGTGTCTTCCCGCCCCTATCCGCGCCTCTGTTATATCCATCCTATTTCTGGATACGTCGCTTGAACCTTCTGTCAAAGCCAGTGCTCCGAAGGTTTTGGCAAAGAACATCCAAAATCTCACGCTGCTCAGTGAACTCTACAGTTTTAGATTCAACTGTTTCGACAACACATACTGCAGTTTTGGCGGCCAGGATCAGTAAAATATGGAAAACCTACAAAGCCGGACGCATAAATATTTGTTGAGTGGACACCAATCCTACAAACAAGTCTTCAAACCCGAAGACACCTAAAATTACCGAATTGGCTGGCACGGACTGATTTCCATGAACTCATCGTCTCGCAATGCAGTCTCACAGTTGATTTCACGGTAAGATACTGACTCCATTGACGTTAGACTTTTCTAGTGACGGTAGAGCGAATTGGATGTTATTCAAAAAAACTTACCAAATCACAAGCACGGGGACATTGTGCTCTGTTGGTTGGGTTGAAAGGCATACGACGGCGTCGTGGACTTACGAGTAGTTGGAAAATTTGATGAGTAAGGAGAAACTGAGACAACTCTGCTAAAGGACAAACTAGCCCTGGCGTTATGCTTGATAATCAGAGAGCGACCCATCATTGCATGTAGCTGAACAGAGAAGATAGGCTGAAAACCATTTGAAGAAATGGACCGTGGATTTTTGGAGATCCTCGCCCCTCAGCAATTCAAATCAGGGCTGAAAACACCCTATTATAGGAAGTACTCACGTTACGACGGCTGGCACCAGAGTCCGCAGTTGTCAGCCAGTTGTGAATCAATGCTGTGGTCATCCACTCCGTCTATGTGTAAATGTGATTCGAAAAGTCTGAACAGACATCTGCAATCACGCGGGCTCCACCCGATTAGATCCTTGATGAGGCGCAAAGCTGTGAATCATCCTCGGTTGAATACCTTAAGCTCCCATAAGATGAAATTTCGAGATATCCAGGTAAACCCTGGGTTCCAAAATGTATACACTTGGTATCTCCCTGCTGAAACTCAAGCGGGCAGGAGTTGTTGCAAGAATGAGTTGAAACAAACGCGATATGCCATCCTGTACACAAGATCCTTATGGAAAGTGCTGCCGCTGTGGGCAACTACAAGACAATGACGAAAACCGATCTGTTTGTCGTAGACGATGAGGGTATATTTAACAGAAGAAGGGAATATCGGCGCAAAGGTTCAGGTGGCTGGTTCTACTTGAGTTCTTCAGTTGATAGGCACCCGTACTTTACCCTTCGGACCAGTATTCAGGTTTAATAGTTGGTTTATACCTAATCAGCATAGTTGCACCAAGTGGGAGGGTTAGGCTGAATCTTGATCGGTCAAGCTGCTTGCGTACTACCAACACCCAATGGGAATGAACAGACAAGAATAGACCAGGACATTGCAGAAAACCTACAATACGTATCTTGGAGAATGTAATTGAGGCCTTTGCCTTGGATGAGCCAGAGTCTGGACCGATAAGCACGATATGCCGTCCATTTGGCCTCATGCCCCATTCGAATCCCACCAAATCGTCCCCTAGTGATGTTCTTGGTGCCGGTGATGGTCAAGAACAAAGCTGGTGAAGTACCGCTGTGCGTCAATTACGGTTGAACTCACTGGACTTTGTCTCTGGTTACAGTCAGGTACTGGAACAGAGAGAAAAGAGACACAGGACTCCATTGGTGTTGCACTTCAGATCATGCCTTTTGGCCTTGTTCCTATTCCACACACCTTCCAATCCCTGAAGCAAACGGCTCTTCAAAAAATATCGACATCTGGAAAGTTAACTGAGTTAGTCTATGCATACAGTAGCCAACGTTGGAACAGGAGCCAATCCGGTCAAAATAAGAGTTGGTTTGAATTCCGTTCGGTCGATGAACTAAGAAGCTTTCCTGGGATGGTGCCACACTATGGGGTCCTCGTACCGATTTTTTTCAGCGAAGATACGCCTCTGGTTGACTCACTAGTGAAATATGCAACGGGAATTCTCATGGGCCCAGCGGAAAGTGCTTGAAGGATAAACGTCAGGCTTTGTGTGGGACAGCAAATTTGAACATCCCGAGTGTTTAACCAATCAAGTGTTGAACCACCTGTCCTGGACGTCAGTTTTAGTGATTCCCTAACTCGGCTTTATGTTGGCCTAAAGTAAAAAAACAGCATTGAACACGCCAAAGCATGTGGGAGTCAAACGCCGAGCAACTTCGAACTAAAGTAAACTGTAGATCCGGACTGAATTTCGCAGTCCGGGTACAGCCCCATGCCTCTCTTTCCACCGTTTCTTGACCTGCCAGTAATCAGAGACTAAGACTCAGAAGCAAGCAGCCCCATCAAATGAGGTCATAGACTCAGGGAGGAGGGTTTATTTGGGCTTTCGATCATCGGTGTATGCGGTTCTTTGTAGACTTTGTTCTTGATCATCCTGGAGGTTCAAAGTTTTGGATCATTATCGTCTTTTAAGTATTTTGAATCATATGCCGCACATCTTACTGGTGGTCATCCGTAGAGCAGTTTGACGGAATTTGAATGGGGGTCAGTTTTAGTTCGATGATGTGCCGCAATTTTTAAAAAATCGCTTTTGTATGTGATGAGAGCCGCAGGCCTTTTTTCTGTTTTGAAACGAAAGAGGTCTGTTCGAAACACTGGGTGTATACAAAGCTCATCGTATTCACTCTTCGAGTCCAGAAACCCAGAGAAAGAAAACCATTATAGATGTTCGGAATCCTATTTAGAGCCGTACGCCTATTCCCATGGATACTTTCCGGTACATGGTGACCTGTCGCTTGCATTTACCTAATGCATGCAAATCTGCCCTCTATCCTCTTTCCTCTTTACCGTTAGCATCAATGCGATCCTGAGAGATTCACTCGTAGGCTTTATTGCCTATGGAGTCGAAATGCTTCTAGAGCATTTCCTTGCAGGCTTAAAGTAAGCAGATGACACAACTCTGCTTGCAGCTAATCCCTTCAAAAGGCAAAAAATATCAAGTAATCTGAATAACTCTGCCTTATGGTCTGATGTACGCCCTGTCCCCACAAAGTAGAGAGTGCTCCCACATTACTGAATAGGATCAAATCCGACCGTATAGTTTCGGATGAGCTGAGTAAGGTTGTGAACAAAATTATCTACCTGGTTAGAGATATCAGTCAGCTAAAGACAATATTTTGATTTGGATCAATAGAACCAAAGCAGCTTTCCTCCGCCTACATTGCTTGTTGCGTAGAACTGAAATCAGATTACTTGTCAATGGTCGGGTTTATTACGCTATGATACGGTGCATATTGTTATGTGAATCAGAAACCCACCCCCTACGAATTGGAAACTCAAAACTTTCAGTGATTCGTCCCCTCAGATCATTGTACCGCTCTGGTAGGAAAGTCTGAACACCAATAATGAACTAGTTGAGTAGTGTTTGGAGAAAATGACTCACCCACGATAGATTAGCTGACTTGGTTGTGTGATTTACGTGCCAGCCGATGGGACTCCTCAAGGAGTCCTCTACTTACAGCCGCACGGAGGGTTTGAACAAGCCAGAGGAAGTCAAGCATGGCTTATGGCAGAAGCAGGAAAGCCAGTACCGGAAAAATCAGCTGCACTGTTCACGGATGAGCACCCCTAAACGGGACATATCAATGGTTGGAGACACTGGTAGACAACTAAGCAAAGGACGGCGTGCGCTTATGCAGGCTGTTTACTTCACTACATAGATATTTATTCCGGTCTTCCCCAAAAAATACCCAGTGCCACTCCTGAATTCATTCATCGGCGCTAACATCCACTACCTTCAGTGCGTAGCTATCCACACCTAGTTTTCCAGATTATGATGATGACGGCAGGGCCAAAAAGCTAACTGAACAGTAGACTGGTCCTGCCTTGTTTCATCCAGTTCTATGGCTCAGCACTGGCAATGTTCTCTCTCGGTTTGTTAATCTCTCAAATCCATATGTTCCGAAGCATATATGTTGGATCCTGTATTACTAATTAAACTGGCTTTCCCGAGATCGAACAATCCTTCTTGGTTAGTTGAGCCTTAGGCGGAAGATAAGCTCAGTTTGCTTGGTTATTTATAATGCACTAAATGTCAACTATCAACATTCGAAAAAATCATCCTCAACTCCATTACCATCGGAAATAACTAGCTTAACTTACAGCATGTAAGCGGTTCCGCACTGAAACAAAAAGTTACAGGCTGCAATTTCTTAGAGCAAATAAAATTAAGATGGGCCTGTGGCCCAGCCTATCGATTTCCGATAAAACGACCTGGCTATGAAAGAGCATAAGTGCGGTGAACTATTTTTCACCCTTCTGGTGGATGTGAATTGCACACCAGTAACGGCATCTGCTTGTTGTATGGGAGCTACATTTGTAACGGTCCACTTGAATCTGCAGATCTTTTACGGATGAGATATATCAAATCTCTTTATCACACCAAGCTGAGTGATGCTCGAGACAGGTTTTATACCTACAATGTGAAAACTGCTACCACTTGACCGGTCAAGGTCAAACCCAAACCAATTCCTCATCAACAAATAATCGTTGGAGCATGCAAATCCATTTGATTCGTTAGAGACAACGGCCACTTGTAAACACGGTTCACAGCTGATGGTGATTTTGTATATGGTACCGTCTTCTAAGCAGACATATGACCGGTTACCTGAACTTCATATGGGAATTAACTAGCACTGACAGCGTTAAAACTCTCCGGAAAATTCTTCACCCTCTTATCCCGTGTGACGTAGTCTCTGCCTTCTAGTTGGATTCACACAGGTGATTACAGTAATCACATCCACTGTCTAGCATCAAACCGCATATCGTAATAGAGCCGCCCTAATTAGCTGAATTTTCTCAGCTAGAGAGCAGTTCTCTTCTGTCTTTGGTTGATGCGTATGGCTTTGAAATGAACCACTTGGTGTTGTTTATAATGAAGCATATTCATCTGCAAGGTTTCATAAAAATATGAATATATGCATAAGCCGTAAGCAATGCTAGGATCTGATATTGATGCAAAGTCACCTAAGCCTTTATCAGTATCATCACAGTCAGCTGTGAGAACAACCTACTTGCCCGTGTAGTGGTTATAGCTGCCACGGTTTCGCTTACCGATGATTTGGGGAGGTGGGGTCGGTAGCTCCGCATGGAAGTCAAGAACTGATATGATTGACGCGTAGATGCGAGGTTGTCAGTGTACTTTCAATTAGGGAGATTGGGAAGAGATCTATGCATTGAATGCAATAGCTGAGATGCCCGAGCGGCATTGGAAGCTCCTGGGCCATGTCTGGTTGTCCTAAACCACCGATGTGTCCTGTCTCTGGTCCCCACCAATGGAGATGGCAATGACCAGTGAGTTTGTTGGTAATTGCTTCCATACTCCACTGTCAAGTCACTGTTTGACCTCCCCTTACTCGTTTCCACCCTTCATGTGGTTGTGCGAAAAGATCATTTCAGGAAGTCGGTCGACTGGCACACGGAGCATGTAGCCAAGCCGGCACAATCTATGGAGTGTGATCAGTTCGTCTTTCTGATCGGGTGCTCCCAGCATATCTGAGCATTGCTCCGAAAACATGGACGGTCAATCAGTGAAAGTCTTTAGACGCGCAGCGGCCAGGTTTCCGACAAGTATACCAATGTGGAACACATATCGGGATTGCAAACTTGACCCTTGACGGATAAGCTGATGTCATACATACGCCACATACGATATAGGTTCACAAAAGCTGCGCTAACCTTGGCGAAATACACTCGTTTGCAAACAAATTTGGTTTTTCAAGAGACTCACCTGGAACCCGGCTGAATCTCTCAGCTTCAGTGTTTCGATGTTGCTCTAACCTTCCTAATCCGGATAGAAATAGAATCTCTCTTGAGACCACCGCGACTGATACAGCTACCCAGTTAGGCAAACTTGTTTACATTCTCAGTCGGCTCATCCGCAGGCATGAAGTTAGGGTTCAAGCCCACCGTATCCTGCAATAGCACCTTACACTTCGCATGTGCGAAACGCATGCCAAACCGTGAGGTAACATCAGTCAAGCTATTTAATATTGTTTGCCTTGCGACGGCGTCAGATCCAAGAACAGCTATGTCGTCTGTGTACTGGATGCCATGAGCGAACGCCTGTGGAAAAGTTCTAGTCCACAGAAACTACTAGTGAATCTTTCGTAATTAATTAATTAATTAATTACGCGTTTTAAATTGCAGCTGTGTGGCTTAGAAACAGACTTATTGTTTCTGTATCATCAAGATATTCATTCAGCGAGGGTGATTTGCCCACCAAACTAGAAAGTCAATCGGATGCTACATAACTGTTCGAAATATTGTTCTTAGGAATCATGAAATTTGTCTTCATTTATTTGTACCTCACTTCTTACAAAACCAACTGGTTTGTTGAGTTCTACTTCCGAGTCCTTTTTAGCATGAAATCTGGTACCAACGCTTTTGGAGACAAAACAGCCGCATTCCAGTAACAGTAGCGGTATCATTACCAACACTGACAGCGATACAAGTTGAAAATACCGGTGCCTTACTGCCTAAAACCATGTCAATTTATTTGACAAGGCCTTATAATGGAAAGAGGAAAAAATGAAGTAGGAAAGTGGACCTAGAACTGGCCCAGCACAAATATCTGCGGTGCTTTAGCCTCCATTACTAAATCAGGCATTCCTNCATTCCTGATAGAAACTGACAGTATGAGTCCCAGTGACATCAGTTAGCCTGTCACCGGTGCAGTAGTCACTAGATCAGGATATGATATCAACAGCCGGATTGATTTCCAGGTTTCCTATTGTCAAGCCCCTTCTCAGTTTATGCAGCTCATCACATTATTTGGTCGTTACTGAGAACCCTCATTTAAATAGGCGGTGATGTGTGTGCCCCAATGGCCGTGTATCTTAGGTGTGAAAAGGAATTTCCCGTTCTGATATGTTTTTCCGGTCTAATCTGCGTAACCCATAAGGTGTAAACAACTAGTGTGGGGTTCTGTCGTGGAGGTATTCTATTTCCTAGTTCTCCTAGTTTTACACTGAAATGTGCAAACGATTTATAAATCGACTTTAATATGTCAGGTGGGAATTTCTGAAGAACCTATTGATTGTTTTTATTAAAAATACAGGTTTCGTGAAAGTGTTTGTGGTATTTTGCGTGGTGAATGCAACACAAACAGACTATGTTGTCGTCTAATGCATAAAGGAGCTGAGCCTAAACCTGATCCGGACATGGATATAACACACTACTCATAACGTCGCTGATGACTTCTCGCCTACTACTGGTTTAGCCCTTCTTGGATCTCATCAGGCAGGCACGTTCCCCATTACCATGCTAACCGGCATGCTCCCTTCTTGGATCTCATCAGGCAGGCACGTTTCCCCATTACCATGCTAACCCGGCATGCTGGATCAGGTTAGTAACTTGGGTTTTATGGGGTGACTTCGTTGTTCCGAAGAGACTGGAGCTTATCGTAGTGTGACGGTTCATACAACTATGTGAGAAAATGTGCGGCATCAAAAGTTGTCCGGGTTACCTTCGCAGAACCTGTCAGGTGGACAGAGATCTGGAAAACACAGTATCCTGAAATTGGCGACAAGTTCCTTAAAAGTTGCACTACGCTGGTAGTCTCACGCTAACCATCACTACCTCAAGGTCAGGATTTTGACCCAAAAGCTTCAGTCGCTGACCCTAATCGTCCTAATGTCCATGTTTTGGCGCTCCGACAGTATCGCAGTCCATTTATAACCATAAACTGCACAAGCAGCAATAATTTTATGCAACATCAGCTGATTTTCCCATCCGCTGCGTGCAGCAGAGCGGGTAGATGAAAACATGCTAAAGCCATTGCCTCTTATCATTCTTCAACACTATCTGCCAACCTCCTCCTGGTACATTTTAAGACCACTGCTTTGTGGATACCAAGCATGCCAGTCTTTCGTTCAAAGAAGTTTAGCGTACTAGACGTCCCACCAGTCGCTTTATATCCGTCTCTCACATCTCGTTCCCCTACTTTTCCGCTAATTTTGACATGCCGATTGTGATGCAGGTCGATTAGTAGACTGTTCTGGTCCACACTTTTGAGACCTGTTTATGGATATCTGCTACATTTCCATAACTCGAATGCACGCTCCAGATAAGGCAGTTGACGTTGTGACACCATCCTCATCTAGAAGCTGGTGCTTACAGACTTCAGACGGTTATGTATTTGCTGCCTTTGTGTTGGCAAAGCCCTCAGCTCTCAATCTGAGCTGACTGGATCCCCATAACTATCTACCTTTATAAATTTCTGTAAGAATCCAGTGGTAGATGAAACAGTGTAGTTTCTGCATGTTTAAAACCAGCTGCAACTCTGATCCGATGAAGTTTACTTCTTACTGATATCTGACTACTTTCCTATCAGTGCAAGGAATTCGCTTATTCCCCTAGTCACTGACGATCCCAGTTCACAAGTAGAACGTGTCGGTATATCATAGGTGTGATCTGGCGGCCTATGCACCTTGGACTCAAGACTTAATGACAGTTGTGATTATCTTTTGCAATTTCGCACCCATCATCAGTTGTTCCTCGGTAGATCTGGATTCAAATGCAGTGGACGCCGCTTCGTCCACGCCAACTGGCGTCCCTATGCTGATGAACTACCATAAGGCCAGGTTGACAACGTTGTCATAACCATTTCATCCTTGGCCTTTCTGAACCACCTGGATTGATCCGGGTTTTCCGTGGCGCACACTGCATCAAGTGTTTGATCGGCGAAACACATACGGCCGACCAACTGTGGTGGTTTCTCCCAACTTCCGTGCACCATTCGAACCTCTGAATAGGCTGGCTCTTATACATATAATTGTTCAACGTAGAACGCCCTCGAATTTCGTGAATATTCTTCGTGCCGTTTATCTCCCATACTTCTGATTGATTTCGTGCTTGCAGTGAGCTACTTGAAAGCTTTTTTCATGTCATCATCTACGCCATCATGGAGTATAATATCCCAGGGACCGTGGATCTGGGTGCTGAACCCATATTCGGAGAAATACTGCTAGATCAGGCGGATAGTGTTGTTCTGTTACTGGACCATCTTGGCAATCTGCACAAATGACAATAAACAGACTATCGAACTTGTTCTCTCGTTTTGGAATGCAGTATCATTTCTCTCTGTACACGGCTAGGGGAGTTGCATGTTATGGTTGCTGATCGATGTCAGTGGCGGTACTGTTGTTGGATTGTCTGAATACGTGACTGGAGGTGTAAGCATCTCGGTATGACTATAGCGGGCTAACACTAGGCCCCTTTCCCATCCTCCTTTATTCTTTTATTTTCAAAACGAGGCTAACAAATAAATTGTGTCTATGCGGCACTAAAGCACCGACGTTGAACACTATTGTCCTACTGCTGATGATGATGATGATGATGATGATGATGATGATGATGATGATGAGGATGATGATGATGATGATGATGATGATGATGATGATGATGATGATGAGAATGAGGATGATGACGGTGATGACGGCAACGATAATGTCTGTGACGTTTATAATAGTAATAATACTAAAACTGCCTGATTGACTTAGGGTTAATAGAGATCTCTTTCCGTAAGTGAAGTCAATCTTTGCTGTACATCTGTTTCATCCTTATTGAGAAAATGAGCAGCGCGTCTCTCATGAAACCCCAGCGAATTTCGAACCCTCTGACCAGTAGTTTTAACGCCTTTGGTGTCGGCAACAAGCGGCTAAGGAGTAGTAAGATTGAATTACATTTATACCTGATATGGCGCCACTCATCGGTCAATCTAGTATTCCGCATCATATGGCCGTATGTTGACTGACTCCTTGAGTGACGGCTTCCCCGATAAAAGCCGCACGCTATGAACTCCAGAGATTTTAAACTTCATGGATAGTATTTCCTCAGCAGACCCTTTATTTTGATTAATCTTTACCGTAGAAAACAACCCATTTGCGACCACCACCAACTCAAAGGAAACAAGCGTTTCAAGTGCCCAGCAGGTCATGCGCCAACTCAGTTAAACTCATCCGCCTACACAAACAAGTAAGACGTTCTTGGACGGAAAAAACATTTGTTATGTGAGCACACGCGACTGGTTTAAAATAAAACTATTGATAAATTTAGAGAGAGAGAGAGAGAGACAAAAGCCTGCTCTTGACCGGAAAAAACATTTGTTATGTGAGCACACGCGACTGGTTTAAAATAAAACTATTGATAAATTTAGAGAGAGAGAGAGAGAGACAAAAATAGGCCTGCTCTTTTCCGATGAGTGGGCGGAAAGGAAAGTTTTAGCTATTCAGACATGTCCAAATGGATTGTGACGCAATCTTATGAAGGTTGCGTCAAACGTGTTGGTGAAAGCCTCAAATGGCGGGCTTTGAAAAAGAGGATTACCTAAAAACTATTCGTGAGTTAAGGGAAATCGGTCCGCAGTAAAGCGTGGCTTGTTTGCCTGAGCACGTAGGCGTCCTGTTGGTATAGAAAAACTCTGCAAATAGACGTCAAACAAGTTAACACGTTTATTACGACAAAGGGTATCTGGAACAGTCACCACGACAGTGAGTTACTCATTGTGAACTTTCCACCGTATCCATGTAGAAGAGATTACTGTTAGCGCTGAACACTTTCAGAGGGTACATGACCTCTTCACGTACTCTAGAGGCGATAGCAAGTAACAATGTGTGCAGGACGAGCCTGTATGTTTGACAGGACGTGTGAGCAAGATGAGTATGTGGGGAGGGGAGCGGTAACAGAACGCCACGGGATGCTTGTTCGTTCTTCGTCTAACCAGCACATGTTCAACGTAGTTAACCACCTGAACTGTAATCAATAGCTACAGACGGGATGCTACAACATTCCTAGCCCAACGAATCTGAGTACAAATCGACCTCTAACCGGGCGGTGCTCAGACGAACTAAGGCTAATGTGAATCTCTGCTTTGAACGGAGAACGCTATCCTGACATAACACTATCAGATCGGAACTCAACTGACCAGTGAAAACATAACTGATCAAACGGACCAATTTCTTACGATAATGTAGATCCCACTGAATCCTATAAAATTTGGGTACCACAATTTTCCAGGACTTATGGTTCGTTGTTTCAAACTTCAGTAGCGAGCTTACAGAAACTGAATAGCAGATCTCCATTTATCTATTTCTCTCTCTTGTCGCGAAGTTTCTTATGGTTTAATTTAATTGAAGAGAATAAGTTGGGGTAAGGCACGTGCCCAGATGAGGCGACTGCTAGGGACCCGAGAATGCTGAAATCCTCAAGATTCTTCCGTCATCACCCGTAACCAGAATAAACGGTCGCGTGCGGTCAAGTTGCACCAACAAGTAGCCCAGATTATTGAAACTGTCAGTGCTCTTCAGAAGTTGTCAAAATGATGCAAAAACACATCAATTTAAACTGCCTACCGATTGAGCAAAATTCCTGATCCAATAAAAACCTATCATCATCATCATGGTCATCATCGTCATCATCATCATTATCAGCTGTAAGAACCGCGTACTTGTCGCACAGTGGTTGTAGTTGCCACAGCTTCGTTCACCGATGATTTGGGGAGGTATCTGCGCATCAGAGTAGGGAGATGATAATACACACTTAAGTACAGAACTGTTAAGTGGGGAGGTTGGGAAGAGAGCTATGAACTGAAAGCAATAGCTTGAATGTACCAGCGCCAATGAGCCATGTCTGACAGTGTCTCTACCCGTCTCGGGGTCCCTATCCAGGAAGACAGCACGGACCAGCGCAAATGAGTTTGCTGGTAATGGCTTTCATACTTTGCTCCCAAGTCATTTTTTCTACCTCCCCTGGCTCGTTTCTACCCTTCACATGTTTGTGCGAAAAGAACCCTGGTTTTCGTCGGCTGTGGACCATCTGTTCTGCTTGCGTTTGTTTGCGTCTTTTTTACTACACTTTGTTTTCAATAAAATTGATAAAAACAATATTTTGATCGAAAAGGCTTTGTTCCGTTTGAACACATTGACGTGGCCAAATAGTTTGAATGTCTGGTTAAGCTGAATTTGTCTGCAATAGCCTTCCGCAAAATGGGTCATGGTATCGTGAAAATTTGAATGGTATTCAAAGGCAGGGTCATCCGTACTACAGTTGTCATCGTATACTGTTTCTAGTTCACCTGAACACAGATGTAGACGAGACCGCTGATTTTTTAGTTCACTAATTTGTGAGTCCTCAGAGTGAGTGACGTTCAACTCTAGTTGGTGCGTAGCAGTGCACAACCGCTAACCCACCGCTATGCACCACCAAGCTCCCCAATAACGCACCGGCGATGTCACCTCGGTTGGTGATGAACCGTTTGCAATCAAACTGCGAATAGGTGTGTTTCACTAGCTTCGTACAACCTAGGTTCGGGTAGGAATAAAGGTGGTTCAAACTGGAGGAATTTGTATAGCTGACGAGTTTCCAGAAGGGCGAAGCCGATGGTGGACTGCTAAAAAGTTCTCAGCAAACTTATGAGTAGTGTTCCGACTTCAACAAGTGATATGGTTGAGTTCCCTCCACTTTATCACCAAAATAATTGGCAGGCAAATGTATTATTCTTGTATTCTTCCTTTCTTGTGAACAGCCACAAGAAGGAGAGTATACAAACCTCATTTTCACCGACAGTAATCTGTGTCTTGGTCTTGGACTTTCCAAAATGTTGTACTATTAAAACCCTCATCAGACAGCAAATCCACGTGCAGCAGAAACACTCTGGTGGGGGGCTATTGTGAGCCCGGTTTGATTCAAGCTAAGGCCTGTCATTTTCTCCGACATTTCCACAAATGCGCGCCTGGATTTGATAAATAACTTTTGCTTTTTTACTACTTTCACTAGAACACGTACACAAGAAGATCAGGGACCAAGGTATCCAATTTTCGTAATTTTTTAGTCTTTTTTCCTTAAAGCAACTTTAAATGAAAACAGCACTCCCAGTGAATCGCTTGTTGCTTTCTCTGAGAATTGTCTGCCGCCCTGTGGATGGACCAGACCAGTTTAGGATCCACTGTTTAATGTCATAGAGGACATGCAGAACTAGGGAGATCACGTCCCGCAGTCTCATGCTGATTTTTAATTTAATTTGACTGCAAAGCTGAGTACAAAATCTGGCACTGAAAAACACCTGCCTTTTGCAGTACGCTAATATTCCCCAATATGGGAAAGTTTGTGGAATATCTTTGACCGGGTTTTCAAAAAAACGATTTACAACGGACCACCAAGATTTGCCGAGCAAAATACTACAAGATACCAAGGTTATTTTCCCCAACGTTTGTGGCGGTGTTTTTGAGATCATTGGGAGTAGAGACCTGTTAGGTGCACCTCACATCCGAATGAATGGAACTTCGCCTTACACCTCTCACAAGTGCCTACGTAGAATGATACCTGTTATCAACTCGGAAGCAACAATCACCCAAAAAGGTGTACTAGTGATTCGCACTTGATCTTCTAGAGCCTACTATGAAAAACGGGATAGCAGCGTCAATCTATCAGTTCTCATGTGCTTCTGTTGTCTTCCAACTGCTACGCGTTATCCTTCTCAAGAATTGATCGCAGTTTTCTCATTGGTTCGTTGATTGATTGCTTTGTTCCTCTTTAACAGTTTACTTTCATCGGAAACACAATTTCTGACTGGATTTTAACAGTTCCCGTCCCTCTCTCATTCAGCTTGCTTACCACCAGGCCAATTACCGGAGTCCAATCGGATCATCCTTCAGAATGTTCTGCTGCTTTAGCAAATGATAGAGCTTCTTATCGATTATGGATCTACTTATGCCCAATGTCATTTTGGACGATGGTTACAAAGAAGTTGAAATACTATCAGACTGCTTCCGGTGACCACTGTATTCTCAAGCCCTTTGGTCATTACCATTCATCACTTCTGCCGACCATAGGCGTATTCTTCCATCCGGAAGAGTCGTCAGAAGACGGTCCTGTTTTTGTACTTAGTTAAGGCTAATGAACAAGTTAGGATGAACAGTGCACCCGTCTTTGTTCGCTAGCCATCTATTACGATAACCTGAGCTTGCCTGACTGCACATAGTTGAAAGGGAAGAAACCTAGCATGGCGTTTCTGTATCTCGTATTCGAAGTAGTGCAACTTGGTCTTTGACTCAATGGTCTTACCATTAAGGTACCACATACTGAGGCCATTTTGGAAACTCTCTCTCCTTGGAAATTTGGTGTCCTACCTTGCTTGGGGGCCACGTGTTGGGACATAAAAGTTTTGCTTTCTATTGTTAAAGGTCTCAAATCACAAGTTAGCCTCTCCCCACCCTTTCTAATTTCACTGTAACTTGCGGAAAAGTAACATTTAATTGACCTCGGGGGTTGAAGGTGAGAATTTGTTCCGCTCCCTCATCCTGAAATCTTTACTTCAAGGTCCGATTCACAAAGTGATGTGGGCAGACCCATCCTGAGGTAGCAGGCAGTAAGGCCTGCTAGGGTGACCTCTCACAGAAGGCAGCTTTTGAATGGTATCCGAATCTCCTTCTGGCTCTACTAAATAGTTCACCGGTCACGATACGCTGTTGAACTGTCGCAGTCCAACATTCTCTAAACCATCCTCCTTTTCTGGAAGATATCATCGTATGTGATAGGGTCTTACCCAGTATCGCACCAAAATGCTTCAGTCATAAGAGACACGACTGCGTCCACAGTGATCGTCTCTAATTAGCCCAATTAGAAAGGCTTAGCGAACCGCTTCATAGATTACTTTGAGAAAACCGTCAAATATTTGGTGGAAAGGGGGATACGAACGAGATATTGGATACCCTCTTGCCATCCCCGCCTCCGAACCGATGAACCAACATCTACAGGATTACTACTCGGTCGCTTCATCCGAACAGGATCCAGGAGAACGGAAAATTTCCAATTCTGGAGCGCCACTTAAACAATGGGTATGTGAATAAGCATCAGAATGCCAAAAATCAGGTGACGCGTAGCAGTACACTGATGGGATTTGCTGACATTATAGAGCCAAGTAGAGACGTTCCATGTAAAGGCATTTTGTGCGGGTGAATACAGATTGTGTTGTATACATATTATGATCAGTTTATGTCAACTGACGTTAGACACCCATATTCGGTGAAACATATATCGTAAGCCCATGAAGACTAGCCAATACACACGCATTAACAGAGGTTTTCCCTAAAGTGCAGCCATGAAAATTTGTTCACAAGTTATCATGGCGGAGCAAATAGTATTCCTTATAAACGCATTTAAGGGGAATGATTATCTGGGCAGATTCCTGAATTTCATGCAACCCACACCTCTAAAAATCTTATAAAAAGTATGCTATGTAAACCCCCTATGCCTACGCTTGCATTTCTAAGGTGCTCCACTCAGTCGGTTTCTCTTCGGAAGACGTACTGAGACCTGCTGAAGAACTTTCGGGGAGACTCAGTTAAAAGTAGTCTGTCTCGCGACAAGTACACACATTTGCAAATCAATTTGGTTTTCACGAGAGACCCAAGTGAATCTCTCATTTTATGATGTTCTTTAACTGAATGTGCTGCACACAGGCCACCTCACGTTTCGGTTCGTACGATAATCGAGATGTTGCAGTATATTTTCATGAGGAAACTACTCACAAGGTTGTCGAAGAGTTTTTAGCAACCTTGTGAGTAGTTTCTTCTACGGAAGTAATCTGTATCATTTATTTGAAAGATATGCCTGCTCCTCAAACCAAGTCCGTGTGCTTTTCACTTCATCTGCTCTTTTGAAAACATACAAATCGGTTGAACGACGGGGTGGCTATTCAAGCAAATGTCTGGAAGCATTCCGACGAGCTTTCTTACTGGACGGTGGCGTGACACAGTTCAATTTTACCCCAGATGCTCAATGCAGGATATCAGGTCAACGGCCTTCAAACCTATTTGCGAATTTCACTCAGGTTGTCGAAAGCGAATCCACTGTCTAAGTCACTGTTATTGGTATCACCAGGCCTCAGCATTTGGGAAAGACACTGACACTCACACAGCCGGAAAATCACATATCCATTCCATGTAACTTCCAAACGCCGTGTCACTGTTGGGAAGCATGTTGACTGTATTGATTTACCGGATGACTGACATAAATATATGACGAAGCCAGTCCAAGAAATATCGAGAAGGCTGTCTTCGCTCATACTCTGTATTTCTTGATGAGAACATAGAGGTTTCCAGAAAAATATATACCTAAGAATACCGTCATTTTAATGAATGTCGAATGTGTGGTGTAGTAGACAACTCTATACATTTCAACAAAACTTCCGCCTTCCAGAAGTCAACTTGTTTCGTCCACACTGCACTTGGCATTAGGTAAGAGATCCACTTAAGTAAAATTGCACATCTCACCTGCAAAAAATTACCAAGTCTATGAAAAATCTATTCACTTCATTCTATATGCTATATCAGAATATAAACCAGCCACTAATGGCCAGATATCTCATTCGAAGTGCTCTTTCCGCGCTTTCTTCTGCAATGGTGTGAGAGAAATCGCGATGAGAGAGACGTTTTCAGCTTCTTTTCTATATCTTTTTTGATTTGATATCACTTAATGTAACAAATCCTTCTACCGAAAGTGCGTGGTCTCACTTTCCTTAACTATCACATTTTAGTTAGAAGCCACCTAGTGATGCCGCATGCTGACGAATACATTGTCATCTAGAGAGAGGGCAGGCTTTTTATAGGGTTTTACTTTCCACAGTACAGAGGGAGTTCGCACCAGCGTTAGGCTGAAAACCGGTGTGAAATTTATGCTTCCAGTAGGCATCTCCGTTCCTAGAACAGACTTTAACTGTTAATTCTAGCCTGTAAGCTCAAGCGTGAACGCAAACCTATTTTGCTTCAACTGGTGATCGATCTCGGGAACGAACCCTACCTTCCTTACCCAACAACTCGAGGGGGCAATATTGGTGTTTATTTGATAGTCCCCTTTTAGATTCTGTCACCAAAAACAACATGCACATGCAAAGGCAGACTGCCAAAAGCTTTTCGCCCACAAATGCACGAGTCGGAATGAAAAACGCAGGTAGTAGGCGAAAAACCCTCCATTCAGTATTCCAGCGCCATTTTGTGACGGCTCTCCGCTCCATTGAATCGCTGTTTACTGATCCTTGTTAGGTAATCACTATGGGATTTTTCAACGAAGGCAATTCAGAAATGTACCCCAGTGTGGGAAAGTTCTGACTGAGCGATTGCTTGTTGCGCGGTACGGTCGTAATACACCAAGGCTATTTAGAGGGACAGAGATGCAGCAGAAGTCTTCATTCATTCTGTCTTTGGTTTCTAGTTCACTTGCTGTATTAGGAACCATCGGCACTCATAGACCGTGAGCACGCCGTTTTATTGGTTCAATTTCTCACCAGTTCACACAATGAATGCTTGTAAGTTTCGTTCAGCTTGATCACACAGGCAGCACTCCACCATCTGGCCTTCGTTTGGTCGATAGTTTGGGACCTTGATAGTTCCCATCGAAGATTCTACCTTCACTTGATCGAATGTTACGGAACGTTTAGATAGCGAGATTTGTAAGGTACCAGGCATCCGAATCATCATCAGGTCGGTATTTTCGGTGATCTCCAGTTACTTCGTTACCTGTTTAAACTACTATGACCGCAAACTACTTGTTGGACGAATAATCTTTGGATGATTAGGCGTCTCATCCACAGATCTGAGAATTCGAGGCGGTGCTCTCATGTTTCAGTCACACTACGTTGATTTACTTGCCCTCTGGTTCTCTCTATTTTCTTGTTACTTCTTGAGAAGTCGCATTTCAAAGTTGAGCACAGTTTCAAACTGTGAAATGTGGATCAATGAGAAGCTCTTCCACTAGCTAAGAGGTAGCGAAGTTCTTTACGCTTCTACTCCGAACCTGTTTTTTTTTCTAGGCTCAAATCCTGAAGGTGTCAATCTTGGATACCAGGTAAGCAGTGCGCTTCGCTTTTAATTCAGCATCCCATGAGCCTTGCGATTGTGCCGCTAGTCTTTTTCAAGTTTTTTCGGTAACTTATAATGTCATGTACAACGCAGCAAGGTATTTATTCAGCTTTATGCAGCTGCTGTTTTGGAGGATACGAAACTTTTTCTTCACTCCAGCAATCAATTATTAAGCCATTTTGGCTTCCTCGCTCATCAAGCGACAAGTTAATCCGGATTACAACTGGCCGATTTTCTTCGTGTACACTCATGTCCAAACACTTGCACCTATTTTTAGCCTGTCTCCGATAGACAGTCGTTTGATTTAACAGGGAAATATAGCGGCAACTTCGGGTAATTCAATAATGAATTAATAATCAGTTTTGGCGCCCCCTCCCCCCGCTAAATTGGCTAATTTCATTTGTGTTGAGCGTGTACACACGAGTCCATGCTTTTTGCATCTATTTCCAAACTGCAGTAGGTATGCAACAGCTTCATACAGTCAGGCAACCGGCTGTTATGATGACTGTCACCAGCAGTTGTTAGTGAATCTCACTTGACTCCATAATTACATATATCTTGTCTGTCATGAGGGTTATAGAATAAAAGTTTCGTCCGGTTTATTCGTGATTCCATTTCGTGATTAGACGCTGCATCATACGAGTTTTGCGTCACTTGCTGGTAAATCGCAAAATAGACTACCATCTATGTAGAATCCTCACACACATACATCAGACATCCCGTGTGCTTCTCCAGCCGCCAACGAATGAGAAGCGAGACTGTATACAGCGAAAGCTGTATGACAGCAAGGTGTTTTGGAACTCAGCACGTTCAAGGTAAGTTTTGTATTACCACTATTATTATTATTAATAATAATAGTATATTTGTGATAACGTTCGTCACTAGTCGGCGCGCTGAACCACCTCCTCGCGGTGCCGGCTGGGTAACCTGGAAGTAATTCTGGGTGAGCTAAGAGTTCAGCAGTTCTAGATGGGGCCAACCACTCTGCTTGATTTCAGTTTACTGGTTACTTTTGACCATGAACAGTCTTGTTTCACCATGCTGTACTAAGTCGCGAGAGGAAGAGTTTTACAGGCCTTTTAAGCATCTGCGGGTCCCACGGTAGAAAAAGCAAGAATTTTTATTCAGTTAGTTTAGTTTAGTAATTTCTGGAGGCACCAAGTTTTATATCTAACTGCTGTTCCCTCTCTAGTACCTGGTACCAGAAAAGAATTCACCGACAAGAAACACAACAGCAAGTGCGTGCGAGTGTAAAAGTCACAACGGACGCGCGATATTTATAGGGGGCTCTCTGACATTGATCCAGGCTGTCTGATAGGCGTTAGTGAACCCCCATCAAAATCGATCCTGCCTCTATGAAAGGCCCGAACGCTGATCACATTCGGTCGTGCTTCTGTGGCGTGCGTGAGGACTCATTGGCTTTTTTCTGAATTGATTGAATGGTTGACTGGCCTGCATGCTTGTCGGCTTTCCTGTTTAGATTCTGGTGGGGCAGTAGGTTTCGGGCGTTTTAAGGTTACTTTCAGGAATCTGACCTTCCTGATGCTTTTACTTTCAGCCGACTATCCCTGGAGAAAAGATTTGTCAGTTTTAAAAGTACCTTGGCTGTGCGGTATCCATGCACGGAGATTTGCTGAAAGAAATGCACAAATGGCGCTTCAATGTATACTCAAGTGATAGGCTCCGTATACCACAAAGATTGACTTGTTCCTTGTTGCCCGTGTTTTCAATTGTGTCCTGAGGCGACTACACCATCCTTGAGGCAGTATAGGGACCACCGTTTATTTGATTACTTCAGCACTGTCTCTGTTCAACAGATTCCCAAATAGCTGCAGACGCCACCTTTGAACGAACTAGGATGGGTGTGGTGCTTTCTGACTCCATCGCTGGAACTTCTAAACAGTGGACTCTCATAAAACACCGAAGAAACCAATGGTAAAAAATCTAGCTTTCTGATAACCTTCAGCCGCACAGTAGCAGGCTTCGCCGGCTTAAATCAGGACCAGAAAATGTTCGGGTTGAAGGGTAGGATATTCGTACGTGAACTATCCTAGTTATTTTCTATAAGGCGATGTTCATTTACGTAAAGTCTTGCTGTGCACTGTTGGTAAACCTTTGAATTTCTTCTTCAGTCCGTTGTATGGGTGAAATGGTGAAACCAAAATAAATGTGGAATTGGCAGCATGCTGGATTACTTCACCCCTTATTTTAAAGGGCCGGGAAAAGGTGCGTCCATGCAGCGTACTAATTTCCAATCCCACGCATGTTGCAAAGTGAATTAGACAATGCAACACACGCTGTGATTCTTCATCACCCAGCGGAACAATGTCATGGACGTATTCGGGGTCAGCTATCCAAGTTTTGGTCGTCACATTATCCAATGAATACCCGTTCAATTGACTAAGTGGCTACAAGGGTGACGAGTATCCTTGAAAATGGGCTTGATTTCTAACTCTGTAGTCTCCTCGCAGTATAGAGGGACACCATTTAGTGTAGTAGGTCCTAATGACGTTTGTCAGGAACACAGTCAGCTGAGAGGATCATCTACAGTAACTGAGAATTAACCGGGTCCTTTCGAAGGTCGTCGAAACACCCTTTGGTAGGCTGCATGGGTTTCACGCTGCAATTATCTTTGAGTTTACACAGTGTCTTCCGGAAAGGAACCACCCTTCACTTGGCCTTATGCATGTATTCTGTGTTCTATTTAAACGTAATCGCAGAGAGGGAGGCATAAATACATATAAGAATGATTCCGCGATGGTTACAACAGACCGTTCTATCCTCTCTTTGAGAATCGATTGCAACCTTCAGTTACTCGAAACTCGTCACCCCAAAGTGATATCAACCCTGTAAGTCGAGAGATTTGTATGAAACCATACAAAAGTTCATAGAGATTTCTGATATAATCCTCCGGATTATCCTAATCTCTCTCTCTCGAGGTTTCGAAAGTCAAACCATACATAGCAGCGTACCCAAAAAAGGCTTTCCAAGAGTGACTACTTCACTGCGGAGTCCACAACAGCTTCTTTACAAGTCATTCCATAGTGTGGAAAGTGTTTCCAGGGATGGTAAAATTTTCTTCTTCTCTGTGGTTTCCTCTTAAGCATGCAAACTATAATACAGGTAGAATGATGAGCATTTGGAAACTACCAGCTGTTTTTATTTTTGGCTTCTACTTATTTGTGTTCTATTTCTATCGCGAGCTCTCCGCATTCCGTTTCTGTCAAATAAGCTGAATGACTCGGGTTTTCAAGCTGGATCACATTTTGTCACACACACACACATCAGATGATTGGAGGATATACATATCAGATCAATAAACTTTTATGAGTATTGAATTTTCGCGTTCACTTTTGTGCTCAATTCATCAGCGCTATCCAATGCGTTAGGATAGTACGTCCCATGGTGTAAACAAATGCTTACGAACTTTACCGACACTCAGCTATCAGGTTTTGTTTAAAAGGGCTTAAATGAACCCAGTAGCAGCGGCAGCAGTTGGTTGTTATCCCGTTATCCGTTCTTGGCTCATTACAACTTTGTTTGAGTGCACCCACTGGACGTAGTCCTCTACTTCACTGCATTCAAGTATAAGGTTAGCGATTAGGCCTGTACGGGGGCTGAATAGGAATCTTGTGTTCCGTACTTTTGATGTATGCCGAATACATAGGTCAGCTATTGTGCTATGAGTGGAGCTCAACGGAGGTGGGGTTTCAGTGGTGTAGTTTTAGAAGGCTTTTTAAAAAGTGGACTTTAGTGCTCGTCTGCAGTATGGTTTCTTTTGTTGGGATATTGCTCCTAAACACGACCGAAAGGAACGTCACTGTAGACACTAAAATATAATAAATAAATCGTTGAGCTGTAACGCCCTTCCGGTGCCTAGCTGCCATGCTACCTAAAGGAAGCAAGAGGGCTGGGATACTGCCAGATCGCCCAAGTCTAGGCAGGGGAAGTAGGGAGGCAGAGGTCGAGTTCTAACCACGGACCTTCCGGCCAGTAAATTCGCGCTCTAGCCAATTGAACCATCTCGCCCCACTGTAGACACTACAATGAAAGGATCTTCATTCTTAGATAAGAATGTATATACGGTGTTCACCTAGACCTTGAAGCGTATACGTTGAAGCGTATACGAAAAAGGGAACCACATTTTAAACCAAAATCCTTTCCTCACGAGAAGAACACAGGCGTATGTTGACAGACTGATTGATCTGTGATTAGCTATTGAACTTGTAGCAATCCTGTCTTTCCAAACCCTATGAAAGAGCTACCAGTCACCACTCATCCTACTCTTACGGAAGTGTTTGGTCCAGGATAAGTGATCTTTTGTCAAATTTCAGTGTAACCAAACAAGCGGGAGAGTAAGATTTGAAAACTTTCACTTCCCGACATCTGCGACCAATCGGTTACATTTGGTGTTGGACTTATTTTCAACCTTCAAATAACTGCTCTACAATGGTCACAGAGTTGTGTATGACCATCCACAGGATTCACTACTTATCCGATTACCAATATGAAGTAGACATCGTACCCTGTTTAGTATCGAGTTGTTCGGGTTCCCTGAAAATCAATGTATATGTTCGCTTTCCGGACAGTTTTCCTGTCATTCCGAGTCGCTCGGAATTCTTGAACGAATTTCAGACTTTGATTAGGGTTACATTCAGGTGTAGCTGATTCGCTCCCCGTCGTGGGATTAACGAAGATTCTGAAACTTCAATCATTTTGGTTAACTTCCATCACACGCACTTTTTATTCATTCCACCCCAGTATCAATCCAACTGCTCACATTCAAGTGAAGGACCACATGGAAGGTGGTCTGTAGGTAAAAAAGCCCTAATATTTTGAGCCAATAGGCAAAAGGTTTATTACGGCCTAGCAGGGAAGTCATGTGGGTTTGACACGATGTGTATTGCGGATGAGTCATTGTGCAACTTTCAATGGAGTAAGTTTTGTACGTTGTCACATTATACAACGCATCTGATGCCCCCAAAA